ACAAGACTAGACGACACCAGTCTTGAAGTAAACCAGGAGATAGACTAGTTTATTTGAACACAGATACAAGATATATACACTCAGGGGACAATCCCCCCTCCCTGCATAATGACACAGGGCGGGGAAATCTACATTTGGTAACAAGAGACACACAGGTATTCAAACTTCACACCAAAAGACAGTCCCATCAGGAGGGAGGGCTGCTGGAGACCGCCCTCCCCCACTACGCTAATACACATAAAATTAAACAACAACAACCCCCACCCCACCTATCTTCTAAACATGTCTACACAGTCTGAGACAAAGCCCACACAATATTAGGACAGATTACCCTGTATCCCTAACAGGCACAGGGTGATTTAAACAGGAGGGATATGGGGAGCTGAGACAGGGGTCTCCCCACCTTTCCAAAGTGAGCAGGGTTCCATGGGCCCCCTACCCAAAGTGACTCCCATCACAGCCTGTTATGGCACATACATAGATCCACACTTTCTCTTGCCAACCTCTGTAAAAGACAACGGACCACTTTCACTGGGACTGAAATTGAAGGGAAAAGTAAAAAATTTTTTTTTTGTCAGCAGATTAGGAATAGTGTGGGCGAATCTTTGTGAACACTGGGAGTTTCTCCTAAATTTTGGGGAGATTCTCTCATTTCCTGTTGTATCTACAGAAGTGAAGGAAATATCTTTTGAATGGGACAAAGATGACAAAAAAAAATTGACAAGGGTTTTAACCTCCCTGGAAGTATTCCCAAGTGTAGCTCTGGATAAAGTTTCAGCACCACAAGTGGAAACCCTGAGCTACACTCGGGAATACACTGCAGCGTTGCTCCGGGATCCCTTCTGCACTTACCTTGCCCTTCGCTCCCGCGATGTCCCCTCTGCAGTGTCCCCGGCAATGTCCTCCAGCCGATGCCGGCATCTGTCTCCTGGGTTCCGTCCCCTGCAACGTCAGGACGTATGGGGACGGAACTGGCGGGAAATTTAAAAATGTCAAAAAGTGACATTCACTCAATACACTAAAATCACATAGTAAAACATTACTGTATCAAAGCATTTCACATATATTTTGTCCCTAGTGCTTTGTCCTGTGCCCTGCCTGCATTTTTACTGTTTTTTCTGCCTGGAAACTGAGAAAAGTCCATGGCGTCCAAAAAAGCGTCCCTTTTAGGTCAAAAGCGGTTTTAGACCAGCTAGAGAACATCGATAGTAAATTAGAACCACTTGCAGAATTGAGTGATAATGATTCGTGGGGAAAATTCGTCATCAGACACTGAAAACGATTTTGCGACTTTGCTCAGCGATGTGCGAACTGGCGCTCTATTTCAAATTTCAGTGTTTTTGGTTTGATTATATTATTGAATTAAATTTATTATTATTTTTTTTTTTTTTATGATTATTAAATTTATGATTTCGTGTTTCAAATTTTTATCATACCCGGGATGTTTACTAGACTCTTGTTCGGACAGATTTCAGTGAGTTATCCCTAAAAATTACAGCCTACAAATAAAAAAAAATACATATTTCCATGCAAAAAAAGTACCACTTTGAGCACAGAAATACTGACATAATCAGACCGCTAGGGAGGTTAAGCTTTCCTACTTCCAAATGGGGGGGAGAGAGGGAAGTATCGACTTTAAAAAAAAAATATGTTCACATCTTATGCATTTATAAAATACATGGTATGGTTTATACGAGTCACAAGTTAGTGGTGTGGTGGTGGTTTTTTTTTTTTTTTTTTTTTTTTTTTTTTTTTTGTAAACCCTTTATCACCATTACTGCTACTAGATTACTCTTATTACTTCTATAGTTAATCATTACTTTTAAGAAATGTTGAAGGAATGTGTTCTTGTAGTTGCTATAGAATTTGTTTCCACGGTACACTACTTAAAACTGGGGAAAAAAAGTGTTGACATTGCTATTATTTATTTATTTTTTTCATTCAGAACAGCTTGCGACAATACCTTAAGTCTTTGATATAGATCCACATTTTTAGAAATTTGTGTGTGTTTTGTTCTTTTTCTGTGTGATTATCTTGATTATTTATTTTTTATTTTTTTTTTTTTTTATTCACAAAAGTTACCCTCCTAGCATGCCCTTAGCACATTTTTCGTAATAATTTTTGTAGGGTCATACTTTTATGTGTAGGGCAGTCAGTCTAATTATGCGAACATTAGGTACATCAATATAAAAGGTGTGTGTGTGTGTAGGAGATTAGATCTTGACAGAGGATCACATTTTAATCCACTTTTGGAGATGATGCAAACCTTCTCAGAGGGGAGCAGTGCTTGCTACAAGGCTGTATTTTTTTTCTTGTGCCTCCTGTTAATTTGAGAGAAGTATGCCACTTAATGCTACTGTTCTTTTCTTTTTGCAGTGGTCACGTGGCCCAGGTCAACTCCGTCCCTGCTGGTAGAGAGTAAGTGACTAAGCTTTTTTTTGTGTTAGTGTGTGTCTATACATAGGAGGTGGGGTAGTGATTAGCAGGATTACACCTTGTTTACTACAGAGCTCGAGAGTACTCAACGATGTGCAGTTGAAAACCTTTTTATCACATTAAATTACATTTGTAAACTCTATTAATACTCAAAATAGTTTACTTTTGATTAGTTTCTTCTTGGGAGAAATGTATTTCATATTAAGCGGCTGCATTTAAAAAGCCTACATTGTAATGTTAGATTAGTGAAATGGTGCATAGAGCAATGATAATGTGCAATCTCCCATGTCCCAAAGCAATCTATAACATTTGTATGTCCTGTTGTCATCTGTGAAAGCGTGATTTCTGATTGATTACCATTTAATGCTGTACTTTGCACAACATTGTTGCTCTTCTCATTTTGGACTCACACTATCAGTTTTAGTCAATTACAAAGCTGGCTATACATTGATTGAAATTCATCTGGTTCAGCAGTGACTGGCTGAATTTTGACTTGTCAAATTTTTTTTTTTTTCCTGTTCAGCCCACTGGAAAATAAACACCAGTGTATGGCCAGCTTTAGTTTGTATTGTTTTTCAAAAATGATTTTTATATGCTAATATACATCTAAAGGCTCCTGCAGTCTAAAGCAATAGTCAAGTCAATATCTAATAAAATGAGCCAAAATACTTCAGTGACTGAGCCAAATCCTTCTTTATTTTTGTTTCACACGCTTCCTCTCCCAGACACTGCAGCCTAGAGTGGGAAGGTTTCAGCAACAGAGTCTGTGCTGTAAATCCAGAAAGCAGTGGGCAAGACTAGGTGTGTCCAGGTGCTGATTGCTACAGGTTTGTAACTATAGGCTACTTTCACACTGAAGTTTTTGAAGTGCTTTTGCGTTTTAAAAAGAAAAAAAAAAAACACCGGAAAAAGCTCAAGAAAAATGCTTTCCTATGTATGTGAATTTATATCTATGCTTTCACACGGAGGCGTTGTGGTGCGGTGTACAAACTCCTGCTTGAAGCTTTTTTTGGGCATGTTTGGGGAGTTAAAAAAAAAAAAAAAATGCCTCTTCCCATCAAAAGAAGTAGAAAACCCTCTGAGAAGCGTTTTTGGTGCAGTTTTTAAGTCCCGTGTCCTTTAAAACGCTCCGCGTGGTAAAAGCACCTATGTGTTTTTGCGGCAGATCAGTGTGAAAGTAGCCCTAGTGACAATGCTGATGACAACATTTTTTCATCCCACTGGAGTGTAAACTGGCACAGACTACATGAGTGGGACAACTCTGCTCTGAATTCAGGAGCAGTGCAGTACCATTGCCACACCATCACAGGAAGCTGCATTAGTGGACTTTACTTGTAGGTATATATATAAAACTTTGCAGGGGGACTAGGAGAAAAATGTAAGTGCAGATCACCTATTTTAAGCACAGCACATTTTATAAATAGGAGTCCTGCATATAAAATATTTTTTAAATATTTCTTTAAAGTAGAACAATAATTTGAGTCCTGCAATCTAGTCTTGTATATGGATTTCAGTCCTGTATGTGGCTCTGTATTGGGGTGATTCCCTTTAGCAAAGAATTGAAGAGTCCCTGAAATAGGGAAGGGAGGGGGGATGGAGCAGTGAAAGGTGCAGCAGTAAAAAGAATTGCGGGCATTAAAGAAATTGAGAGATCGAAGACCACTGATCGCTTAGTTCTCGTGTCTGAGCAGTATCGGTCGCTAGCTCTGTGCTTTGCCCCTTCGCCGCTCACTGGAGCATCGGGGTGTGTGTGTGTGGGGCGGGGGCAGAAGTGGCTAGCTCGTTCTCAGTGGTGTGCTGAGAGGCTGAGCCAGCTGTCAGGCATCTGGGTAGATCCCGACAGTATTGTTGGGATCCCTGCAGAGCCTGGACTGCCTCTGTGACAACAGCTGACAGCGGGCTTTAGAAGCTGAATCTGGTTCACAGGAGTTCAGAACTAAGGGCATTCCTGAGACCCATAGGAGAAGCACAGGAGAAATATGACCAATAGGGCTTTGGCAATACTTCTCTTTTAAATATAACAGAGGTTCTAAACCTCCCATACTTTTGCAAAAATGTAGTACACTTTCTGGCTGGAATTGGGTTTTAAAGCTGAAACTAGAAGCCAGCTCGTCAAATCTAGGTGGCAGCATGCTCACTTAAGGGACTATGTTGAGGAACCAGAAAACCATTTCAAATTACAGCAGTTGAAAAGCTCCCCAAAAATAGTACCATTGGAATATTTTGCAAGGTAAATATAATTTTTCGCTTCTGAAATTGGACCATTTTTGTGATATGTAAAAGTTTTTGGTGTTTTTTTGTTGCTATGTAAGCAGGCAGATCCTCATCCTGTACTCATATTAAAGTAGCATCATTAACACTAGTATGTGAGAATCCCTAATTTCTACATGGTCTACTCTGGCTTAAATACACATGGGCTGTTCTCTTCCTCATTGTTACATCTCTGGTTTGCATTAATTGGGTGACGTATACTGAAGGTTCATGGGTTATCTGTGTGTGTGTAACTACTACTGATTCACAAAGTGTCTGCATAATACTAAAAAGGAGAACGTAGAAGAATTGAGATGCTACATAATAGATATGTTCAGTGTGCATGCGTCATCTGCAACAGCTTTTCTGCTCTTCACAGACTTTTGGAGAGGACAATCAGGACTGCTGTGGAGCAACATCTTTTTGATGTTCTTGGTCCTGGAAGTCAAAGTTCAGAGGAATCCGAGTCTGGCACATCTTCACCTTCCACGAGCCTCTCTGCCAGGCAGAGGCGAAGACATCTGAAAGAGCAAGATGAGATTCGGAAAAAGCCCAGAGACATGTAAGGAAATACTGGGACTCTGTTAGTATGCATTAGTCTTAAAGTGGACCTGTCAGAGAGAGTGCAGTTTGTTTCTGTTCTTAATATATAATGTATCTACAAAGGCTTTCTGTGCGTGCTAGAAACCTCATTGCACCATTGTTTTGAATGCTCAATAATTATGTTGTTGCAATCAGTCCAATGTGTATCTCAGGCTGCTAAGGCTACGTTCACACTAGCGTTGTTTGCAGGCAGCAGAGAGGCGTTTGGGAAGCGTTTTTACCGCTTTCCAAACGCCTCTGGCAATTCTGCACATTGCAGCACATGGTGCCGTTCTAACGGGAGCGGAAGTGTTGTGGCGCGGCAAAACGGACGCCTCTGGACGAGTCAGGAGGCGTTAAAGCCTCCTATTCTTGTCTATGGTGCCGCTCGGGTATTTGCGGCTTGGTTGCGGGGCGTTTGCGGAGCGGTAACACCATTCAAACTTCATTCTAGGCGTTTGTGGGGCGTGTTTTAACGCTCGGCAAATGCCTAGCAAACGCCGCTAAACCGTGCTTGCGGCATTTGCGGAGCGTTTGCCAAGCGTTAGAAAACGCTCTGCAAGCGCCGGACCAACGCTTGCCAAACGCTATAGGGGCGTTTGGCAAGTGTTGGTAAAACAGTCAAGTGTGAACGAGCCCTAAATGTGAGTGTATAGAGAGAACTAATGGCTGATTGTCGTTGTGTGTGCAGTAATTTTATACCAACCAGCATCTCATGCCAGGTGCTGTTAATTTTGTTCTTTTTGGGAAAAAAAAAATGTTGATTGTATTACAGGGTCTATAATAACAGATTGTGTGGGTTGTAATGATGAAACTCCATTTTTACCTTTGAAAACAAGTTTCCTGGGTTGTCAGGAATTGCAATTTTAATATTAGCATTAGTTATCATAGCAGCACTGGTGGCTAATGCAAAGAAAACGGGTAGAGACCCAGAATTAAATTCCTCAAGTGCCAAAATGTTTTTTCTTTAGTGTTGAAGAGGCATTGCTGCAGTACTGTGTATGGGTATGGTGATCAAGCATTCATCTTCAAGTAGCAGATTGTTATGAAGAGATTAAAGGCAAGCAGAGTGATCACTTATTTATTGGCATATATATATAATATATACAGTATGATTTGTTTTCCTCCTTGTGAATTACCTGTAAATATACAAGGTGAACCCAGGAGGAGCTGTGTCACCATATACAGTGCATTCATAAAGCATTCAGACCCCCTTCACTTTTTTCAATTATTTTATCTTGCAGCCTGATACTGCAGTTTCTTTAAATTATTTTTTTTTTCTCATTAATTTACACTCAGTACCCCATAATGACAAAACAAAAACTGAATTTTAGAAATGTCTGTGAATTTATTAAAAATAAAAACTGAAATATCACATTAACACAAGTATTCAGGCCCTTTGCAACAACACATGAAATTTTAGTTCCGGTGCCTCCCATTTCTCTTGATTGCTGAGATGAGTCCATGTCCAATCAATGGACTCATCTATTGGTGGATATCACAGGTGGACTCCAAAGCATACAAAACATCTTGGCAATGATGCTTGTATGGTGTGAACAAGCCCTAAAGATGCAAAATGTTTTTATTGTGCCTCAAAACAGCTGTAATTACCTCCATGGGTGATGAGCTGTCGGTGCCCATGCAGCCTGTGTAGTGGTCTGGGAATGTGAAATCCATGCTCTTCTCCCCCTTCTTCTTCTGCAGGGCTCCTGGGACGGATCAGAGAATTTATCTGTGCTGGCGCTAACCAGTCAAAATTGCTTTGATCCATCCTGGAAGCCCTGCAGAAAGAAGATGAGGAGCGCATATTTCATATCCTTGGACCGCTACAGCAGAGATCGGGGAGGAGAGCATTAGTTCACCTTTTGGATTTTTATGACAAAAGTTAACTTTACGCTTTAAACAAGTCATGCTTATATTGCTTGCATAAATATATTTTGAGACCCTGTGACAGTTTAGTTTCACATATGTACATTTTTAGGCAGAGCGTTGTACCAAAACTTAGTTTGAGGTTTCAGCAAAGAGGTTAAATACACATTCAACTGTCTTTTATTATCTTGTTTTTTGATCATTTTTAGAAAAATTATCAAAACACATTATGGACAATTTTGTGTGGATCAGTCACGTAACACTGACACATTTTTTAGTAACACTTGAATCTATTTTGATTCTTGGTTTAACACTACAAAATAAATACCAGTGGATGTATTTCATCCATGTAAAACATTTTGTGTGGTGTTCATATACTATATAGCCATAGGTTTATGGGCATCTGCCCACCTATATTAATCTGTTCGACATCTTACTCCTTAGACAGACATAATATGTAGTGTGCCCCAAACCCACCCCATGTGGGAAGGCTTTCCACTAGAATTTGGATCTTGTCTTTTGGCAAATTGTGTCCATTCAGTCAAAAGGGCATTTGTGATGCTGAATGAGAACACCTGGCTTGCAGTTGGCATTACAATTCATTGGAAAGGTGTTCCATAAGCTTGGGGTCAGGGCTGTGCACAGGCCACTCCAGTTCCTTCACACCAATCTGGCTTTGTGCACAGCTGGAATAGAAAAGGGTCTTCAGCAAGCTGTTCTCATAATCATGTCTATGCTATAACATTAACAGTACCCTCCCCTGGAAACAGCCGTCTTTGGTGTACCTATAACAAAAACTTTATATAATATATATATATATATATATATATATATATATATATATATATATATATATATATATATATATATATATATATATATATATATGAGAGATGGTGGGTTTTATTTTTATTCTGAGGAGAACAATTTACCAGACTGGACGTTAGGGAAGGTCTGCAAAAGGGAAACGGGCAACAAAAGCAGAGATTCTAGCATTCTAGCATCCCACTGTCTGTCTATGGGTGTAGGCAGCAGGGCTTGGGAGCGAGCGCACACGAGTGCCCCTATGGGAAGCTGCTTCCTATGGAGCACTGGATGAAGAAGACAAGCCAAGAGCACTGGCATGGGACCCAAAAAGAGGAGGATTGGGGCTGCTCTGCGCAAAGAGTAGGCAAGTATGACATGTTTGTTTTATTTTAATTTTAAAAAAACAAGCCTTAATAAATTTAACTAAAAATAAAAATAAAAAATGCATTTTCCTAGCCTCTCCATGACCTAACACATGGAGTCGACCTATCTGTGTTGCCATTGGGACATTGGGGTCAGGCTTAGAAAAATAATGCTAAGTTCTGGTGATAACTTTTTTCTATTTTCCTAACATCTTGATGGGATTGAGGGGGAAACCTGTTCTTGTGACAACTGTCTTGAGGAGATATAATTTCCTTTGGATGTATCTTTGTATTTTTTCCTTCTAGAAGAGAAGTCTACCCAATGGGACACCACAAAAAAAAAAAAACCATAAAGAAAAACAAGTTGTAACTATTCCCTATTCTATCCAAAAATAAAAAGTTTTGCCTTCACTCACACTTTACCTATATTGCTTGGGCTTTTCTGGCAGTAGGAACGTTTTAGTTGTGAAAACATTGGTTCTTTTGTTTAACCGTAAACGCCTTTTAAAACGTCAAATGGTAACTTATTGATTTTTACGTCTTACAATCAAGCTGTAATTTGCTAGCGATTGTCTGCATTATTTTGTAAAAACTCGTGTTAAAGATTTCTTGTGTTTTTAGGGAGATGATTAACAAGGAGAATATCCCTTCTGGGTGTGGTGGCCTTGAGGACTGTGGACTGTTGCAGGAAGTGGAGAAACTTCAGGATAATTGCTCTGGTTACATTGAAGAAAGAAGCAAACCAAAAAGACAGAAATCCAGCAGCAAGCTCTCTGAACTCAATGATAATCAGGACAGTACTTTGGTGAGTGAAATATTTGTATCCAGTGAATCGGGAACGCCAGTATCTTTTTGATCTGGTAATTTACCTGAGCCAGCAAGTGGGGATGCTTTTTAATAGGAGCAGGAATTTTCCTGCAATGTCCCAGGCAAGCTTGTTTGTAACTTGCAGGTAGGCCAATGTTGCCTACCTTGGTATTTTTATTGTCTGGGATTTTTTGTTATAGAAATTTAGTAATAATAACCCGAATTGCTAAATAATGTATACCATCATATTTATGTAATTTGACTAGTAGCTGGATACAGAGATTGCTATAAATAGAATACAAGGGATTTGTTTTATGCCCTGTTCACATATATCCGTTTCCGCTGTCATGCTGTTTTTTTTCCCTACATTTTTTTAATGTTCATTTAAGTGCACATTACATGTGTTTTCATGCTTTGTGCATTTTTTTTAGTTTCAGCCAATGTGATGATTTTCATGTTGTGACATCATGAGGGAATGTGCTTTCTGGTTTTCCTGCTCCTGGGTAGGCAGAGCACATGGCAGGTATCATGGCAAGTGAATTGTGGCTGAGCACATGAAAGGCATCCAGAGGAAATGATACCATGTGCTCACCTGCAAGAACTTGAAAATGCAATACAAAATGCATGCAAATTCACAGTACATACATTTTCATGTGCTTCAATAGGCCAGAAAATGCATATATATGCATATAAAATCAGACTTGTCTCATTTTATGAACAGCCTCATTGGACCCAGTGGAGGAAATTTACTAAAACTGAATCACTCATTTTCTGGTCCAGCTGTGCATGGTAGCCAATCAGCTTCTAACTTCATCTTCTTCAATTGAGCATTCGCATAGAAACCAATTGACTTCCAGGTTTTATTGCCTAGATGCACCATATTTTACACACACTCTGGTTTTAGTAAATCTCCTGCAATGTATTCATGTGCTTTTATGTGCTATAGAAGTGCAAAGGTATGAACATGGCATTATACTATTTTTAATGTAGGCACCTGTATAAATGCGAAGTAAACTAAAAGGGACATACCTGTGGCTTTGCATA